GTGGTGATGGTGATGATGGTGATGATGGTAGTGGTGATGATGGTGGTGGTGGTGGTGATGGTGATGGTGGTGATGATGGTGGTGGTGATGATGATGGTGGTGACAATGGTGATGGTGATGATGATGATGGTAATGGTGATGACTATGGTGATGGTAATGATGGTGGTGGTGGTGATGGTGGTGGTAGTGATGACGATGTTGATGGTGACGATGGTGATGATGTATGTATTTGAAAGAAATAGCCTTAGTTACATTTGTAAGAATATAGAAAAGACTAAAAATAATCGGGTTATGTTTTTACCTTGAGAAACTATAAAAGGAAAATCAAAATAAACCCAAACAAGGAAATTAGTAAACACCAAAGCATAAACTGAAACCAAAAGCAAAGAACAGCAACAAACTGTGGATCTGGTAAACAGCAGAGACATGTGAACATCACTCAAAATGTCACAGAGTGGGACATGACTTCACAAACCTAAAGAGAAGAAATTAAAACACTGAAAATGGTTAAATCCTCATAGAGCAAATGATTTCCACCAAAAATAAAAATGATCAAAATTAGAAAAGAAATAGCACCATACAGACCAAGCTTCGTGAAATAAAGTGAAACAGACTTCAAAGATCTGTACTGACAGCAGCACCAGCTCCGGGAGCTCCTTGGCAAATCCCGCATTTTCCAGAAAGGAGCCAAAGCTCTCTGCAACTCACAGCTAAAACTATGAGTGCAGAAGTTAAGCAGAAGGCTACAGGTGGAATATTCACACAAATCCTGAATGTATCAAAATAATTAGTCATCATAGTCAGTTACAGCAGAATGGCTCAAGAGTAGGAAGTCCCTCACTATGCTTCTTCCTTAACAGATTAATGTGCAAAATGTATATGATCCTTTCTATAAATGCTAGAAATTAATTGCTATGTCACCACATACATACACAATAAAAACTATAACCCAAATTTAGACTGATTTAATAATATCAAAAGAAATTCTAAGCAAGGCAAAAAAAAAAAATCCAGAAATAAGAGTCATTCTTTTTACTACATTAAACAGTGTGCAGGGCTCCAAGATACAGGTATATACTGTTACAATTCAAAATACTAATAGGGGAGAAACTACAAGGGGAGAATAGCAAGAAGCCTGGTGGGAATTCTATACCTCCCATTCAATTTTTTCTTTAGACTTAAGACTAAAAAATATAGTCTCTTAATTTAAAGTGTGTGTGTGTGTGTGTGTGTGTGTGTGTGTGTGTGTGTGTAAAAACACAGGAACAAAAACCAACAAACTACATAAATTATTTGGAATATGTTTGATTTTTAAAATTTAATACAAGAATATATATATATAAATTATCCAAGGGATTGAAGGATAATATACACTAAAAGAAAACTAGTGAACGGTTCACAGCAAAAGAAATATGAATAGCTTTTCTACAGCTACACATAATGAAGGAGATGTGGATTAAAATTCAGTACCATTTTTAGGCTAACGAATTGGCAAACATAGAGTTTGATCATACAAGGGTGTAGGAAGATAGGCGCTCTCTTATCGCACGTCTCCTTAGTGAAACTGGAAGCTGGAATACAACTTCTAGAAAATTTAACCATATGAACAAAATTGAAAACCCACATACTCTTTAATTAACAAGTTTATTTTCATGGGTTTACCTGTAGAAATGTTCATAGATGGACACAAATGCTTACCTAAAATGTTTGTCCGAGATTGTTTATAGTAAGGAAAGACTGGGACTTGCCTAAATGGCCATCAGATTACAGGAACGACGGCACATCCCTGGGCACAAAGATCATGTTTTCTTCAGAAAGTGGATTTGTCAGTGTTAACAGGGAAATCTTGGAGGACACATTCAGAAGCAAGGGGTGGGAGAGAGGCAGGCATCAGGAGTGAAAAGGGTCCACCCTAATGTTCTCTAAGGGGGGGTGTGTAAGAGAGAGAGAGAATCTATGCGGGGACTGACCAGGGAAGGATGCAGAGATATGAGGGAGGATTTTTACTATTTTTTAAATATTTTTTTAGTTGTAGACGGACACAATACCTTTATTTTATTTTTATGTGGTGTGGAGGCTTGAACCCCATGCCTTCCACATTCGAGGCAAGCACTCTACCACTGAGCTACAACCCCAGCCCTTGTGTTTTTACTATTTATTTTTATTTTCTTCAAACTTTTCCCATGTACATAGACCTTAAAATAAGGCCAAAACAAAAACCGAAACCTAAAAAACTAAGACCATCAGCAAACGTGCTTAACTAGATGATTAAGTAAAAGTTACCTATCTGAAAAGTAAAAGCCAGGTGTTTTAGTGATATATTAGAAGCAGCCACCATTAAATTCAGATAGAAAATAAAGATATTTACTGTCCATGATGTTAGCACCGTACCCAGGCCCCCTTCATTGCAATAAGACGGGTGGTAACATAAATGTTAGAAACTACACTAAATTATCACCTTTGCAAATGATTTGATTGTTTAGATGGAAAATCCAGAAAAGAGTCAACTGCAACATTATTAGAACTTAAATTTTTATTAACTATTAGAAGGTTTTATTTATTAGAAGATTAGAAAGTGAACAAATACAAGGTTCACATACAGAAATCAATGACTTTCTCACACCTTCACCAAAACTAATCTAAAAGGGCAACTGGAAAACAACATTCAAAACAGCCACAAGTTTTCAAAGTATGCAGGAATAAGGATAGGAAAAAACATGTCAGGACTATGTCGGGAAAATTATGAACTTCACCAAAGAATATAAAATAACATTAATAGGGAGATATACCATGATATAAAATTGTCAGCTTTCCCATAAATTGGTGTCTAAATTTGGAAAAATTCCTAGCAACCTGGCAGTGGATTTTTTTTAACTTGACAAGCTTATTATTAAATTTATGTATAGGAAAAAAATATCAAGAATAAACAAGAAAATTTTGGTATAGAATAACAGTGATACTGCTCAGTTAAGAAAGGGAAATAAAAATGGCGGTTGTATGGGAAAAAGATATCAAACTTCACCAGTAATTGGAGAAATGCAAAATAAGAAACATTGACGTTTTTGTCCTTAAATATCCAAAAGACCCTGTAAGGGGAGAGAATCATAAGCTCGCAGTTAAGGGGCCACTCTCAAGGGCAGTTTGGCAGTAAACTCCAACTGTGTCCTGTCCTCTCAGCACTAGTCGGATACAGGTTCAATGTCTGCTCCTAAGATGGGGCAACCCCAAAAGTATGGTCTAACATGCTCTTCTGACATCATGCCTGTCCCAAAAGGTTAATCACAATTCAAATTCCCATTAATAAAAATTAATTTTAAAAAAATAAGCTGGATGTGATGGGCCACACCCTTCATTCCAGCTATACTCAGGAGGCGGAGGCAAGAGGATCACGAGTTTAAGGCCAGCCAGGACTACTCAGTCAGATCCTGCCTTAGAGGTAAGAGCAACCGTGTTCAATCCCACATGGCAAATAAATAATCAGCCTATTTATAGTGACACAACAAGAATGCCAAGATGCATGATTAAATATCAAAAGAGAGTTATAGAACGGTGGATATCGTGAGACAAAGTTCACATTGCAATGTCACACATACATGCACGTGCATAAAGGCATGGAATAAAAACAACGTCTGAGTAACTTGGGGGACAAGGACTGGAGATGGGATGGAATTAAGGGACCTTGTGCTTCGCCTGCATTGTTTGAAATTGCAAAATGAAAACATAACCATGTACAAACTGTTAATTTCTCAAGTTCCCCCAAAAAGTAAATGGGACAATTTTAAAAGTTTATTTATATAACTGCACATCTTATTTTATAAGGATCTGAATATTTTTCCAACCTTATTAAAAAACATGAAACTATTTCAAAGACCAAAGGGTAGCACTGGATCAGAAGGCATATGCTTTTAGAATGACTGGTTAAATGGTAACATCACAAAACTCCTCATGAGTCTTCTGGGAAGACTGGGGTTCCCGCGGAAGGGCTGCACTTTGGTCAAAAGAGAACTTTCCTTTGGCTTCTTTTTCAAAAACTCTGTGTAGCTTCTCTAGGGAACGAACGTGAAGCAGCTCCACAGCTCGTTGTATCGTCTTGGAAAGCGTCTGAAGTTGGGGACCATCATGGCCTCCTTATAGACATAGGATATTTGGTTATTTGAAAAGCCATCGAGACAAGATGGAACATAGTCACTTGCCCAGAGATTGAAATTTCTAGAAACCTGTTGACTTTTATCTGGGGGAATCTTCTTACGTCCCAAGCCCTGGGGAAGAATGACAAGATCAGAGGGGAAATATTCAAGATCACATAGTTTTGAGATTTGCAATAAAACCAGCTACACGATGTGATACGTTTAAATGTACCCTGCGCCACCCATCACAAAAGGTCCCCTTGGCCAGCCTGCTGGATTCCACAAACCTACACTGCAGCCTGGTAGTGTCTCACGCTTTCCCGTGCTACCAGGGGGCTGGACTTTTAGAGACGTGGAAGGCAAAACACAGTGAACCCAGCCTCAGTGCCTGCTAACTGGCCTCAGATCCCAGGGCCCCCAGCAGATCTTTGCATCCCTGGTTGCCTCCTCATTACGCAGCAGGACAGATGCATCTTTCTCTAACAAGATGGAGGCTGAATTCCTTCCCAACCCCGGGTTCCCTGGAAGGAAACAGAACCTCTGTCTCTGCCCACAGGCTCACATGTTAATTTGTGGCACCAGACACGGGAATCCGAGAATTACCATGTACTCAAAGTTGTACACTTGATTTTATCAAAGTGCAGAGATAAACACTTTGAAAACGAAGAAAGAAAACACTGTGCTAACACAAGGACCGAGAGGAGGTGGCCACTAGGTCACCCAGACTTCACATCAGTCAGTGAGGGCTCTGTTCACAAGGGCCAGCAGCGGTCAGGTTTGCAGAGGGAGAAGAACAGCACACCTAAACTCAGACCATCAGAGCAGGGTTTATGAAGGGACTGCAGGTGGCCCCCTGGGTTCTCAAGTCCTACAACCAAGGATGCAGGCAGCCAACCTCCAATTCAGCTGACTGTGGGTGGAAAATATATATTTTTTTAAATTGAACCTGTTAGACGTATACAGATTTGTTTGTGTGACATTATACCCTGAACAATACAATATAACAATTACTGACCCTGCATTTACATTTTTTGAAGTATTATAATTAATGTAGAGATGATTTGTAATACACGGGAGCATTGCCTAGGTTACATGCAAATCCTACACCATTTATACAAGGTCTTGAGCAGGCTGATGTCTGGAGGCCTCAGAACCCAGTTCTTGTGTAGATTGAGGGACGAGTTGTGCATGAGGGGGACCTGCAGGGGCTGTGCCACGGCTCTAAGGTAGTCCACACAGACCAGCCTGTGGGGGTAGGCAGCAAAGGGCTCTGGAGAGACAAACAAGATGCTGGATACACAGAAAAAGAAAGAAGACACGACAGGAACAACGAAGAGCAGGGGGAAGAGCAGGAAGGAGAGCAGCAGGTGAAACTGCCATTATGTCCAAATAACTGGTGACTTGGTGACGGAGAAATGTGCTGGGACGTTGAGTGAGAATTCACAGAAAGGGGGGCTGGGGCGGGGGCTCAGGGGTAGAGCATTTGCCTAGCACATGTGAGGCACTGGGTTCGGTTCTCAGCACCACATATAAATAAGTGAGTAAAATAAAGGTCTATTAACTACTTAAAAATGTTAAAAAAAGAAAAAGAATTCACAGAAAGGAAGAAAGGGAGGGAGCAAGAAGGAATGAGAGAGAGAGAAGGGGGAGGGGATGAATCTACATCTGAAATTGCAGGATTTGCCCTGTCTGGGGAAGCCAGGTCTGCAGCTCCCATGTCCAGGCGGAAGCCCTGGAGTGGCACCTCTGGGAGCGATCGAGCCGAGCTAGAGCCACCAACAGCCCCAGGAAGGGACATGCAGAGACAAGCACTTTGAAAGACTTGCCTTCTCCTTGGGGAAGAGCTAGAGATATCCATTTATATAATCAGAATAACATGATGTAATGTATGTATTGAACATTTACACTTGAAGGTAACTACTAGCAGAAAAGCAACAGAAATCAAAGGGAGCAAATAAATTCAGCCAATCTAGCAAAATAAGGAGAGGGGGAAAAAGAATCATGACCTGCACATGAGGGCTGTGGCTGTAGCTCAGTGGTAGAGAGCTTGACTCACATGTGTGAGGCACTGGGTTCGATCCTTAACACCACGGACATACATACATACATACACAAAATGATATCGTGTCTGTTTACAACTTATATATATATATTAGTATATTCACACACACACTTGATTTTATCACATATGCCTCTCTCTCTCTCTCTCTCTCTCTCTCTCTCTCTATATATATATATATATATATATATATATATATATATATATATATACACCTATGACATGCACACAATAAACAAGAAGCATGAGAGAGGACAGAAATAAAACCAAAACACAAGCTGTCATAATAATATGAATGGGTTAAATTCTTACACAAAGAAACGAAGATTCCTGGATGTTTTAAAACGCAATGCTGTTTACTATCTATAATGGAAGACAAACCCAAAGCAATATCACTGAAAATGATGACGACAAAGGAATGCAGCATAACCTAAATAACAGACATTAGCAACAAGGGGGTGTAGTGCCCTGGCAGACAGTTGAAAGCACTGAGGCCCGTCAGGAGCACTCCGGGCTGGTGGGCGGGGCAAAGGCTGCCTGGAGATAAAACAGTTGGGGTTATTGTGCTGAAAGACAAGGAAAGGCAAAACCAAGATTGCTTAGAAAATCAAGAATAATCTTAGAAGCAGAAACTGGAACATCAAGTTGAAAAATAAGAATAAGAAAGGTTGCAATAACAAGTTGGGCATTAATAAAAAAACTTTGTAACTCAAAGGGGAAATTATGCTCTTTTTAAACCCTGATAAAACACTTCAAAATTACAAAGATAATTTCTATAATTCAAAAATTTCAAAATCACAGATCATACACTATAAATTACTATAGCCCATAAAACTGGATAGTAGCAACATCTATCAACTTTGTTAGATGGCCTAACCAAATTCTAACCATCTAGAAAATTTCAAAATACTCTATAAATCATTTTTTTAGTTAAAATGGAAATTAAAAATTAGATCATAGACTACTTAGAAGCAAATAATGATGATAACTTAATTAGAAAAACTTTGCAACGTAGCCAAAATAATAATCTGAAGAACATTCATGGTTTTCATAGATTAATAACCAAAATAACAACTGAAAACATTTCCAAAAGAATAGCAAAATAATAGTATTTTTAAATATTTTTTTTAGTTGTAAATAGACACAATACCTTTATTTTATTTGTTTATTTTTATGTGGTGCCAGGGATCGAACCCAGTGCCTCACACATACTAGTCAAGTGCTCTACCACTGAGCCACAACCCTGGCCCCTAAATAATAGTATTTTAAGAGATATTATACCTCTAAATTTAAAATGAGTTAGATATATTTTAGGCAAATACAACAGCAAAATCTACCCAAAAGGAGATAGAATGTTTGAATAGATTAATTCTCAAAGCAGAAAAGAAAAAAGTAGTTTTAAAAAACTTACTCAAAAAGGTATTGAACCCAAGTAATTTCATGGGCAAATTCTGTCCAATCTTCTTTAAACTTAAAGTCTCAATGTTATGTAAACCATTACAGGACACAGAGAAGGCTGAAAAGCTTGCAATGTCTTCTGCAAGACTCTGGTGACCCTGGTGAAGTGCCTGTGGCAGGATCCTATCTGAGACACTAACAAGGTACATACTCACACGTGTGTGTGTGTGTGTGTGTGTGTGTGTGTGTGTGTGTGTGTGTGTAAACTGCAGGCAAAGCTCCCCTTCCATCTGAAAACCATCACTAGCAGTGAGTCATCAAGGTGAGATGGTCAGAAGGGAAAACAAGGGAGTGAATTTCATTTCTAGTTTTTTATAATTCCATGGTTTTTGAGTTCTCTTTTAAAGGCATGCTACTTTGGTGATTTAGGTAACAACATTAATCTCTTCATTAGAAGAGGCAGGCGGGTGCATGTGTGGGTTCTATACTCAACACTGCCAGAGGAAAACCAGAGATCGGGTGGTTGGTGCTGTTTTAGGTTAGAGCCACTTAGATTTAGTTAGGACACTGTAGACTGGAGGAAAGGGTAACTTTGGCAAGTTGTTTGACTTTACTAGTTCTCAGTTTCCTCATCTCTAAATTGATAAGAGTAATTAGCCCATAGAGTTGCCTTGGGGATTCAATGACACAATATGAGACGCTGGCCTCTGGCAGTTTAAGTAAATGATGGCTATGACTAACAGCATCGTCCCCACCATCCTGGACTTTCAGGTTTGGTGAGGATTCCCAGAGCTCCCCTGACCACCTTCTACTTAAGGCCCGCAGCCTTGAATGTGCAGTTAGGGACCTGGAAGGACATAGGCATACCACAGTGCTACTGGGCACTAGGGAGTGTGAGTCCTCAAAATAGGGGTGTGCAAAATACAAACTGGAGTTTAAAGACAGCTTGGATTAGTTAATTAATATATCATTAATAACTTGCCTTATAGATTACATGTTGAATTGATAATTTGGAGGAAATATTGTGTTGAATAAAATATACAAATTCTAGGGCTGTGGCTGTAGCTCAGTGGTAGAGTGCCTACCTCCCACATGTGAGGCACTGGGCTCAATCCTCAGCACCCCCACATAAAATTAAATAAACATATTGTGTCCAACTACAACTTAAAAAAATTTTTTTTAAATACAAATTCTTTTGACATATCTTCTTTTTTTAAAAGAATTTCTATTTTAGTTGTAGATGGACACAATACCTTTATTTTATTTATTTATTTTTTACGTGGAGCTGAGAATGGAACCCAGTGCCTCACACATGCTAGGCAAGCACTCTATCACTGAGCCACAATCCCAGCTCCTCCTTAACATATATTCTGATAAACCTGTTGGTAGTTGAAAATATCCTAAGTCACAAATGCATATAAGCTGTGCAGAATGTATGCATGCCTATAATCCCAGCAATTTGGGAGGCTGAAGCAGGAGGATTACAAATTCAAGGCCAGCCTCAGCAACTTATCAAGACCCGGTCTCAAAATAAAAAGGGCTGGAATGTGGCTCAGTAGTAAAGCACTCCTGGGTTCAGTCCCCAGTACCCCCCCAAAAAAAAAAGAAGAAGAAGAAGAAAAAGCCTCTAATGTTATGTAAAACCTCCTGGCCAACCTAGCTCAGCACTACAGGGTACTGTTGTGGCCTGGCAGTTTCCATGGTGAGGCTTCCCAACCAGACCTGCCTGGGAGCTGCGGCCACCTGCTACTGTCAGTCATCCCAAGAGAGTGTGGTACCATATATTGATACCTGGGAAAAGAGCAAAGTTCAAAATTTATGTTTGGTTTCTCCTGAAAGCCTATTATTTTTGAACCACCATTATGTTGAAAAAATCAAACCTTCATAAGTAGAAAAACATTATTAACTTCACCTGTTTCTTTTTACTTACTAAAGCTCCAAGAAAACTTAAAATCACATACACAGCTTGCTCTACATTCCTATCACAGTGCTGTTAACCACCACCAACAAGTGCTATCAGACTTCAAGTTCAACAATGACAGGGAACTCACCACCTGTAGAGAAAAGGTAACTAGGTACTCGGAAGTCCTTCCTTCTATTATGTTAGCTTTTTCCTCCTGGATCCCTCCTTGAGGGTCCGGCTCTGCCATCCAGAGACATGCATGTCCCTCCTTCCTAGGACAGATCTTCACAAGAAAGCTCACAAGAGACCATGTATGGGAAGGGCACTTTGGAGAAGCTTGAGAGGCACCTTAACAGGATGGAAGGTTGGTGCAGACTTGAAAACTGCTGGCCATTTTGTGAACTCCAGGAGGCGTTTCTTATAACCTGTCTGAGTCTTCTTGAAGACCCCACTCTGTTTGGACCTTGTTCAGTTTCCGAGATCAGTCCTCTGTCTCCCGCAGGCCTCTGAAAATCAAGAGCCCTGAGGCTACTCCCCCGATTTATCAGTCATTTGGAAAGAAATACTCACAGAGTCAAAGTAGTATCCAGAGTTCTCAAGACTGTGACGATTGTCATGCACAGAGAAGGGGAAGTTGTCCTTCGCTGCTTGCTGGAAAGAGTGAAGGAGGAGATGGGAAGGCACACGTCAGAACTCCCCAGGACTCCGGGGCACTGTCAGACTAGTATGTGGCAGGAAGGAGGCCCGATGGGGCAGAGCGATCGCTCAGTGAGACGACTCAATCCGCTCCAGCAACAGCAGGAACATGGGGATGTGGTGTACGTGTACATGTCGGGTTACGTGTACATGTCGGGTGTACGTGTTGGGGACCTGAAACTCAGCCTTACTGCCAATTTTCTGAAAATCAGAAAAATCCTCTTTCCAAACACCTTCTCTGGAGGCAGGGATAGGGAAAACATTCAGGTTCACAAAATAAAAGCTGAAAAGGAATTTTGAGGAATTTTGAGACCAGCTTCTCTAACAAGTAAGGATCCCGGGAGACCAGAACCCTGGTCTTGGCAGGAATAGGCCCACGCCAGCTCTTCCCCATGCCGCCACAGTGCCCTGAGTTGCTCATGAGCTGGCCAGGGAGGTGGACAGGGATGCCAATGACCCAAGAGCACCACCCGAGATGACTATAGGGAGCTCGGCTCACTGTGGACTAGGAGGCAGCCGCTCTTACAGAATATCCAGCCTGGCACAAGGACCCGGCAGGAAGTGGTCACTGTGCAAGAGCCTTGCTAGGAAGAACTGCCGGCCAGAAGGCCACGGGGCTGCCCTTGAGAGCCACAGAGCTTGCAGCTGCAGCCGACTCACCTTCTCCCGGACTTTGTATATGGGTGGCAGCTTCCCCTCCACTCGTCCAGATGAGTGTGGATAATGAGGCTCTTTCAAAGTAGCACTAGTGAGGGACTCTGGTGTCGTCTGCGTTAGTCCAACGTGAGGGAACTGGAAATCAGCACACGCCCTGATTAGAGCTGGAACCCCCCGACTATAACCAAGGCTTGGTGTCTCCTCTGTAAGGTGACTAAAGTGCACTTTGGGTGCTTCTGGCATGCAGTGGAAATGGTATAGTTTGGTAATTTTCAAGTATTTTGTCCAAGACAAAAAAAAAATAAAATAAAATTGTAATAGTCCAGATCCATCCCTGCGGTTGTCTCAGGTCAGGGCCATCCTGCTGTGTGTGGGGGAGCCTGGACTGTTTCCACAGCCTGGTGAGGAGGGTGAGGGCCTGGAGCGTGCACCTGCGCACTGGGAGGAGACACCAACAGGCTCTGCGATCCCCGCTATTCCAGGAGCTCCTGCCAGGATCCCATCATAGGGATGGACCACCTCCCTCCAGGTAGGCACGAAGGGGGCCTGAGGCAAGGGGAAGGTGAGGGTGAGGACGCTGCCTCCCCACTGCGATGTGAGGCAGAGGATAGGAGAAGTCGAGGAGGGAAAGGGGGAAGAGAAAATGAAGGAAAGACAGGATAAGGTTATTGGGGTTGTCCTCAGCATCTCCCTACAAAGGGAAGAAAGGAAACAGGGCTGGGCAGAGGGGGTTGTCCCTCAGCAGAGGCTGTGGCAAGCTGTGGGCACAGTGTGGTCCTTCCAAGTTGCCCTGCATTGGGGTGAGGGGCTCTGGCCTCTGTGTGCTCCTTGGCCATGGGATCCCTAAGGTGTTCTTGGCACCCAGAGCAATGGTCCTTCATCCCTGAGGCAAGCATGACTGGCACTGGATGCCCCCAGAAGCCCACCCTAGTTTATGTGAATGGCACTTCTTAAAACCGCCCCAACAAAATGAGCTTTGAAGTAGGGATCTCTGGGAGAAGAAAACAAATGGAAGATGATAAAGCCAGCAAAAGTCAAGACCCGACTCCAGGTGGAAATTCTCCACCTAGGGAAGAAGAATCGTCGCATGGTGGCTGGGACCAGGCTATAGGAGCAGAGGGCCTGAGTGCAGTCCAGCCCTCTCTCTCCTGCTAGGTGACAGCTTTTCCAAGCCTCAGCTTTGTTCATCTGTAGAGTGGATAATCATGCCTACTCAACAGGGTGGATTCGATTACAAGAGAAAATGCATGTACCAGGTAGTGCTCCAGCATGGTTGGTAGGTTCTATAGTTGCTCATAGCTGTCCTCTTCTTTGTCCTCAAACCTAAGGCCATTGCCTTGGGCCAGTCCCCCCTTCTTCCCTTTGGGAGTATGACGTTGCTGTCCACCCTCTCAAGTCACCATACCACTGTGTATTCAGGAGGGTTTGATGAATGTCTGCCCAAAGGTGTGTTCGGTATGTTACATTTGTGTAAAAAGCCCGGGGCGTCATGTTATAAATGTCATATATGTGAGAGGAGGGTGTGGAGGCCATAGGAAGCAAAGGACACACAGTAATGGGTGGATCAGAGTGGAAGGAAGAAAGAAACAGAATGAGACGTGTCAGCCATCACCATGGATGTGAGTAAACTGTCCAGGCACACAAACCCATGTGTGGTGGACAAGGACACACAGAAAGAGAAGAACTCCCCCTGAACACGTGTAAATGGCTGCCTGTGGGTGAGGGGACGGGAGATGGGGGTCAAGGGCAATATACTCCTACCTGCCTCTGTGTGCACAAACTCTCCAGAGGACACACAGGGAACTGGCCACCAGGCCCTCTGAGGAAGGGCCCCAGGGAAGGGGTGACTTTGTCTCCACTGACTACCATTGTACACTTAAGTGTTTCTTAGCTAACTTGTGTTATTACATGGTCTTTTTTCAACAAAAAATAAATGTATTTGTTTCGGTTGAGAAATGTCATATATATTCCTGGTTTTAAAAACTCGGAAAATAAAGAAAAACGTAGGAAGTAAAACACCCCCGAGATCCTATGGCCCTTTCCCCTTAACCCTCTGGAAACCACCCCTTCATGATCCTATGCAAATGTGCATCTCTAGGCCCAGATCACTTGACATGATGTGGTATGATACATACATGATATGATATGACATCATGGATGATTACTTCATCTGTCTGACTTCCAAAAGCTGTGGATACCTTTTTATGTATTGGTACTTCAGGTTGCCTTCTGTGCCCTCTCTGTCACCTCCACTGCACCCCAGAGGACAGTACTGAGCCCTCGTGTGACCACCAACCCGTATACACATGGAGCTTTACACTACTTTACAAACACCACATGGCATCGGACCTGCTGCCTTACCTTGCTTTTGTCATTTCACATACACCCTAGAGGTTTTCAGTCGACTCACACAGGTATGTTTCTAGCTCATTCTGTGCCCTGTATTTTAAATGTTTTTGAAGCTAGATACGACTAACACCAAGGGACTGCAGGCTCACCATCTTTCCCTGTGCCTCTCCTTGGGCCTGGCTGAGCCCCACTCAGTTGGGGACACCTGTTCTGATATCAGGAATGATGGCTCTCACCCGATAAATGACGGACGTCGGACTTGAGTTCATTTGTATTCTGCCAGTCCGTGGACTACTAAATCGCTGTTTTAAAAAAATGGCACCAGCATTTTAATTTCCCTCTTTTAACATATATATTTAATGGCTATAACATGATAGCTATGAAATAAACCCTTCTGTTAGATATTGTAACCGTGAAATATAGCTTTTTAACTAGTTGGCGGTGAAATTTTTGCTGCATTCAATCACTCAATGACTGAAATATTAAATAGGAAAGTGAAAGTATGTGGGAAAAAGCCTTTGCTGCGCAGCGACAGCCAGATTACAACCAGCAAGGTCAACTGCAAAATGACTGTCACCTCTAATGTGGCAATTACAGTCCTCCCAAATGGGCTGCCGCTGACTCCAAGCCAACAATTTCTTTAATTTTCTCAACTCGTCTACGAGTTACTTTGGGAAACTTCCTGATCAGCAATATTCTTTTTATACTCCTAGGTGCTGACAGCAGAGAGGACCCATGCCAAAGATCCAAGTCAAACACTGGGGGACAGTGGCCTTCCCCCAAACCCGGGCACCAGGCTGCATTCCCAGGCTCTTGACTGGAACATGGAATGAACTTTCTACCCTTGAAATGCGGACTCTTGCTTTCTCTAGACTGTTTGAAATGACAATGTGGTTGTCTCTAGACTCTTGCAGCTAAAGTGGCCACGTGACCCTGTGAGCCAGAGGCACGAGCCTGTAGGCCCAGCTCCTAGGAAAGCTCTGGATAAGAAAGGGGCAGCCTTAGCCCACTGGCGTCTTGTCTTTTTTGTCCTTTGAACTTCCCCTATTTTCTTTCCTGGGCTGTGGACTCACTGCCTGGAGTTGGAATAGCCCTGCACTAAGGATGGCAGGACAAAAGGCCGAAAGGACCTGGGCCTCAGAGGACGCGGGAGCCCTGTCCCAGCCCTGCACCCTGCAGCCCTGCTTCTGGATTCTACTGTTACTTGAGAAATCGAAACCCTAACTGGTAAAATGCTACAGTTGGCTTTTTATAATATTCAGTGAAACATGATCCTAAATGATAGCTAAGTGATAGAAAAGTAGAAGCTACTTAGTTCAAGAAATTTGCATTTTTCTCTTTATAGGAAATTCATGTTATATAGTGGACACTACTTCCCATTTTACTTTGGAACTTAGAGTCAAATTCTTCCTAATCTCAGTCTCTTATTCGAACATACATTTAAACTGATTATTGATTTTTATTTTAATTCTACTTATTTTCTTGTGCATATTTTCCAATATCAGTGAAATGAAACAGGGTGTGCATTTTGTGTGTGTGTGCACGTGTGTGTGTGTGTTGTGTGTGTGTGTGTGCTGCTGGGGATGAAAGCTAGGGCCTCGTACAAGCTAGGCAAGAGCTCCATCCCCAGCCTTACACTGAGCACTTCCGAATGAATTATGTCATTAATCCCACCTTGGTATACTATGCTCCCATTTTACAGGTAAAGAAACTGAGATTAGATTATTTGTCTTAGTCCAAGGTTACATCTGACTAGCAACAATCAGTTTTTTAAAGACCTAAATTTGCCAAGGCCTTTCTATTTTTTTTTTTTTTTTGCTTTAAATAAACAAAAATTGTAACCGTTTTCTGCATATTGCTGCTCTGAAAAAAGGCAGCTTTTCCTCAGGGTTTGCTTCTCCCACGGGTGTTATGGAGGGCACCTGGAGGACTTCCTTTTGTGAGTGAGCTGTAGCGATTGAAACACTTAGAATGCTCACAGCAAAGAGCCAACAAGAGAAGCCAGGGTCTGCAGGGCTGGGCCGCACGCAGGAGGTATCCTGGAGGTGCCAGAAGAGTGGCCGCCCCCTGGACTGCGTCAGGGCTGCTGCAGGGGGGTCCTGCTGGCAGGTTGCCTTGAGCCCAGGGTTTGGGAACAACCTGGGCAACATTTACAAAGTGGGGAGGGGCTTGGGGTTGTGCCCAAAGCCGGGAAGGGAAGGTTTCCCAGGGACAGGACACAAACCGTCGGGAATCTGTTTAGGTTTCTAGTATAGTATTAACTCCTTCAACAGGTATTTATCAAGTGTGTCTTGTGCATGAGATCAAATTCTAAGCTTTGGGGAAACATCAGCGAGCAAAAAAGACCAAGGCCCAGCCCCCATGAAGCTTCTATTCCAGGAAGCAGAGATGACTAATGTTCGTCACATATCAAGGTGGGTAGAGGCTGTCAGAAGATAGATGTTGAGGAAAAAAGAAGGACTAGAACAGGCTACCCAGCGGGCATCTACACGGTCCAGCGAGCAGAGAATTTTACCCGCATTATTTCATTTAATTCTCCTACAAATGTAGAGGTTCCCGTTTCACAGAAGAAGGAATTGAGGCAGTGGAAGGGGCTTGTCAAAGGTCGTGCTGCTTTAGGCAGAAGGGGATTTGCACTCACTCCTGTGCCCTGGACCACACCCACGTGGTGTGAGGGGGTGTCTGGAGGGCACCGGCTCTCTTACCCATCTTCCGTCCTTGTCTGGCGGAGGGTTGAAGCGTCTCCCTTTGGGCATTCTCTCCAGGAAGCTGGGGCAGGGGGCTGAGGTTGGCAGCCTCACTGCTCCATGGCCCCAGAAGCTCTATTCACTGGAAGGGCCAGGCCTCCTCTCCCTCCTGGTCTCTCCCCTCAGCCTGCAGGGGCCGGGGGCATGGTTGCCGTGGAGCGGGGCTCACCATCACAATGGGTGCACAAGACTTCTGAAGCCCCTGAGGATTCCTGTCTCTGGTTCCTTGCAGGTGAGGCTCCCCAAAGTAGGAAGCAGAGAGCTACCAGGTCCCAGGGCAGGAAGTCCCAGGGATGGGTCAAACAGGGGAGGACAAGGTAAGGTCATTTGGGGTAATGGCGAACACTTGGCACCTCCACATCCTGGAACTAATATTATTTGAGTTGACGTCCCCATGATAACTCTTTGTCCAGCCTCTTACTTACCAGCCCTGGGCAAAGGGCGACCTTGCCCATATCAGGAGCACTTCTATACCAGGTTCCACACCTGCCACTGTCGCCTTCCATGGCTCTCTGTGTCCCGACACACTCACAGGTGCTCGCTCCTGCCTGCACAGCATGGAGGCCCAAGGAAGTAGCATTCATGAATAATTGTTATCTGCCTCGTGCTACACTAAAGGGGACACTTCCCTGTGTTTTTATTTGTTTTCCATGACAAATTTCAACCTTTATAAATGGGGAAATGAGGGCCACCCAGCCAATGGATGGGGCACTGGAGGTCAAACCAAGGTGATGGGTCAGTTCCAGAGCCCAGGAGCCTTTCCAAGGACCACCTGGCCTCCCCGAGGCTGCTCCCGAACCCTGGCCGTCCTCCCTGGGCCTGGCCCTCCTCCCTGGACCTGGCTCTCCTCCCTGGACCTGGCCGTCCTCCCTGGGCCTGGACACACAGGCACCACCTTGCTTCTGCTCCTTACTATGCTCGGCTGCCTTTCTCCTTTGCTGTCTGACAGACTCTCAGTTGCTCCATGGGAGGATAGAGTGACACCCACAGGAGCCCCTATCCAGCTCTGTCTCTTGCTAAGAAATTATGTCCTCAAAGCTCCCCTCCCAAATCATCTCCCTGGGTTCTAACAGGTTGCCGTGGAAGGGAGAAGGGAACTCATCCTCTGCCAGTCAGTTGGAGAGGTGGGCTCCTGGCTCTGAAGGCATAGGTGCAGCAGGCTTGCTGCAGCTGGGACGCTGAGAGCCGCATGTTGGGAGAGGGTAGGAGGGGACAGAGCAGCTCTGCTGTGCTCCAGCTGCTGCGCCCGCCCCAGGCCAGCCATGCTGACCCCTTCCTGGGACTCTTCACCTTCAGCGGTGCTGCTGCCTGCTCCCCAGTGCCCCAGTGGAACTCCTCCCTCCCAGCAGCACCACCAGAGTCCTGTTGATCCCCAGCCTGGCCAAGATTTGGTGTATGGATTAGGATCAAGTTCAGCCGGGACAGGAAACCCAAAATAACAGGGCTTAAGCACAACCCATGTTTATTCTCTCTGTGTGGCAGATCTGCCACATGATCCTCAGAGATGAGGCTCCCTCCTACTTGTCACCACTCCACCATCCCCGGAGAGCAGCTGTTACCTTGTGGCCCCAAATGTGACATCTGGATTCCAGGCAGCACAGTGGAGGAAGGGAAGTCCCAATATATCATGTTAGACCGATCTCGACCCCTGGCCAGGACACACACTTGTCATGAGTTTACCAAAGTCCCTGGCAGCTGCACACAACACTTCTTGTCATGTGACGCAGCCTAAGCCACAGGACCACACCTTCAATCGCCTCCAGTGGTGGGGACCAGGACTCAGCTATTCCTGTCCCTAGGGTTCATGTGGAATAGGCTTTGTTCTGGTGGGGTCTCTGTCCGGCTAGGAGTCCTGTCACCACCACAGGAGAGACAGAGAATGCATGTCAGAGGACAACCAGTGGCCCTGCCCAAAGGGTGCTCCCTAACCTTGAATTTGAATTTCCTTGTATCTTAGAGGTAAGCCTAACTTCATTCCTCACAGCAAAGTTTGCCAGCACAGCAGAAGAGGAGGAAGCCTGCCGTCCACTCTCAGCACCATGGCAACATGGCACCCAGAAAATACTTGGTCAATTTTAAAGCACTTTGCAAAAGCAAGAAAAGTGCATGTGGAAATCCCTTCAATGTCTACTAAGTTCTTCACTGTCCATTTTAAATAACTTCCCCATCAACCCCAAGATATAAGCTGGTTACTTTTCTTTTGCATGTACCACCCACTCCCATTCACTGTCCATCCCCACTCTGTTCTGCACCCCCAAGCCCAGCTACAGAGACTGTATCACCTATTCCTTGACCCTTTGGTTGGATTTATCCAGAAGGAAGGACCAGTGTGAATTGGAACTAGAACCCAGGTGTACTGAAGACAAGGTCAATACCAGCACCAAACAAGGTTTGTTCCACTACAGCTCTTTGACCCTGTTAGATCTTTGGGCAGTTACTTTACAGAAGGATGCCTTTAACTCCCTTTCCTAATCTTTCTGAAACAGGCCCTTTGAAATACCCACACTCGGCCATAGTGCCCGCCAAGATGAGCTCTTCTAGACCAAGGGCCAATTGATTGACATTATGTGCTACTCCAGGGCTCTCTCCTGAAGCAAAGGCCAGGGTCCGGGTGGGATCCTACCAAGTCGAGGAGGTGGGGGTGGTACGGGAAGCAGCTGGTCCTGACCCTAGGGTTAAAGGTGAAGCCTGTAAGAGGAGGGGAAGCCATAGACCCATAATCTAAAACCTAAAACCAGCACCGTTTACAACACAGCCCTTGTTATATGTTACCACCAGTCCCCATCAGTGGACCAAAACTCTTTTAGAAACAAAACCTCCTTTTTAAAATATGTTGTGCATCTTTTAGTCTTATGCTCTGTTAAACCATGTAGATGAACACTGATTAAGTACATTCCAATATCCTTTTGAAGGGTTGTTATGACTTCTAATAAAGTTGTCCAAGAAAATCAAAACCAAATAAAGAAACCTTGGCCAGGAAAACGAAATAGAATTTTTCTTCAACTAGGAGTTCTCAGTCACAGATTAGGGTGGACTTTGTTCATCGTTGGGGCTGTAAATTTTCAGAGGTTAAGTGACTGGGCCGCACTTTGTGACTTGCTATTCTGAAAACACATCCTGCAGCGCTCCAGGAATTCAGACCTCGGGGCTGAGCACACAGAGGGTCAGGTGCGGTCCTGCCTCCTGCCTTTGCACGTTCTGTGTCCAAAATGGCCTGCCAGGGAGTACGTGCAGGGCAGCACGAGTGCATGGTGGGGCTCACCAGTTCCTTCAACAAACATTATTGCCAGTCCACTGTAGGCTAGCGTGATTTCTAGATAACATGACAGCAAACACCAAAAAGCAGTTCTTTGAAAAAAAAAATCATGACTTTGCAATGCATTCAATGACCGGTGCCCCAGATTACTGATAAACCAAAAATTATTTTCGTGGAACCGTCTACAAGATTTTATAGCAAATTATTTTGCTCACTGTATTTTTTTTTTTTTTTTGATATGGCAAATTTTGTGTGTTTGGAATTTTAGATCTCTTTCATCCACTGTGTTAAAGATTTCATAAAAGGTGGATATGTCTGTTTTGGGTCTTTCCAGTGCAGTGTGCCATTCCTTGTCTTAATTAATGATTTGTTGTCTTTTGCAGAAGATAAAGTGGTAGAATTATCGCTGCTCTGCAGAAACGTTCTCCCACGGGTGTGCACATGTTCCCCCCAGGAATGCACCCACAAATACCCAGATTCTATACACAGGCACACTGTGTTTTGTCACACTACCAAATAAAATTGCATTTTCAATTTGTGTCTACAAACCCTGGACAATTCAATAGGCACTTGGGGAAAGCCAATCCATTTGCATGTGGAGGGCTGACCCTCTGAGAAGTTCTCAGGTGTCTGAACTAAATCACATTCTGTTTCACCCTGCAAGGATGAGTCTGGATTCTTTCTGCAAGTAGCCTACAAATGGAGGGGATCCAGTTGCACTCACTTGGTCACAATATGGGGTTCCTATGGTACCAATGGAAACTGGACTGGAGGAACAGCATGTTAGTATGACATCTTGAAAAGTCCTCAGACATCAGTAATAGGAAGCAGTTTTTTATTTATCTTGAGTTGCAAACTCTCAGGAAGATTCACTACATCTCTCCCTCATCCTCAAGAGAGCAATTCCTTGAATAACAGCAGATGAGGGAGAGAGAGAAGATGGGAGGGATAGTAGGGGCTAGGAAAGGTAGCAGAATACAACAGTCACTAATATGGCATTATGTAAAAACTCGGATGTGTAACCAATGTGATTCTGCGATTTGTATTTGGGGTAAAAATGGGAGTTCATAACCCACTTGAATCAAATGTATGAAAGATGATATGTCATGAGCTTTGTAATGTTTTGAACAACCAATAAGAAAAAAAGAGAGAGAGCAATTCCTGGCTGGAGACAAGTGAGACTATCTGAAAGACAAGAAGGATAAGACAGAAAGTCAGTAAATGGACCGTACAAACTCACTGTAACCTTTATTTAAAAAAAAAAAAAAAAACTCTTGATTCTGCTGACTCTTGACCAGCCTGACACCCCAAATTCAAATTTCGTATAAAACCGTCATTGAAATTACTAAATATTTGATGTTCTGACTGACACACAAATTGCTATAAACTTTTCAGATGCATTCTAGAAAGGCTCCTGGTTGATAATTTGGACAAATGGTCATGGCAAATGCTCCACGTGGCAACTTGTACTAGGTGCGGCGATGGTGGGTCTGTGGATACAGTCCCTGTGCTCGTGAAACTGGCCCTGGTGGGGAGAGAGACATCTCCATACAGGTAATAGATGAAAACTGTGAAAGGTATGGGGGCCTCCCAAAGCATGTGACAGGGACCCTGAGTGAATCTGAAAGGCTAGGAGGAGGTGAAGGAGTGAACCCAGGGAAGGGGAGGGAGCAGCCCCGGCAGATGGAGGCCTGATGGGAGGCCTGGTGCTGGGAGGAGCTTGGCTCAGTCAAATGAATGAGGCACATGGGGCTGGAGCCAGAGGCAGGCCATCCAGGCAGTGGACAGAGCTGTGGACAGCACCCGGCCCTCTGTGACTTTGACCAGCACAACGTCAGTAGGAGGCAGAGATGCCAGGAGGAGGCAAGAGTAACTAACCACAGCAGGAAAAAGGAAGAGTTGAGCTTTGGCCTTTTGATGGAAAAAGCATCTTTTCTTTTGCAGGGTGAGAAATGAGACTCACCTAAGATGCAGAAGGCAGGCTGAATGTGTTTGTTCCTTCTCTAAATTCTGAAAGAAAAAACAAAGACGGTGGAAATCGCTGGTTCAATTCCTGCTTCTCAGCTTGCCAGAGTTTGAGGCCCATTTCCCCTTCTGCTTCTCCGTGTTTGTGGGGGTCACATGAAGACTCTGTGCCCTGCTTCACCCCCTGGAAACCCAGCTTTGGGTCCTTGCAGTTTGAACAGGATGGTCCTCCGAAAACCCAGCATAAAAGACAGCTGTAGTTATGATTCAGAAGGAAGAGCCCCAGGATGGAGGACACCAGCCTCCAGAATTGCACCACAGATTAAATGTCTTGGAACATGACAGAAAGTTCACGTGTGCCTCACACTGAGCAAGAGAGAGGCAGGGGAGGAAGGGCCCCCGAAAGGAAGAGATCTTTAACAAACCTCCCTGATTCTCTTATTTTGCACTATAAAACATAATGGAGATTTCATCAACTTGGCAGGAAATCGCGAGCTAATAAAAGAGCCTTGTTACAAAGATAATAAGAAGACAAAGTCATAAAAGAGACTTGGCTGAATTCTGGCTTCAGGCCTCACTCTCTCCGGCTCTGCGGGGACCCAGGCTTCATCAACTCAGTTAATCGAGTGGATGGTCAGGCATTTGTCCTTTCTTGCTTTTGTTCTTTCTTCACATTCCAGGGCGCTTCGCCCACAGGGTGTGCTTCGAAAGGCAGACAGGAAGTGCTGCGGTGTGAAGCCTCCCTGTGCCTTCTGTCCCCCTGCTGCTTTAGCTGGGTGCCGTCCCCTGAAGGAGCTGGGCATCGACCCTCCAGCCGGCTCTTCTTCCCTGGATTTCCACCTTCCCACTGGCTTCCAGCCAAAATATCAGCTGCCTTTCTCCCCTCCTTCCCTGGAATTTGGGACCCTCCTCCCTGCTCCAGGTGTGGAGTTTCTCCCAGGCCCGGCCCAAACCTTCTGAATCAGAATCTACATGTTCACAGATTCCCTGGTGATTCCCGTGCACCTTGAAGCTCCAGTGGGGCCATCTCAGAGAGCCAGGACGTACACCTTCGCCATATCTGCCTTCAATGCTCTCTCAGTTCTGGAAAAGGACCATATGGTGAGGGTGCCTTCAAGCACAGGAGACCTTGCACCTGCAGGTAAGCACCAAAGCCTGGTCTCAACCTGCTACCTTCAATTGGACAGCAGTCATTGGACTTTTAAAAAGATTTGAAAGCCAAAGTTGGAGGCTGAAGGGGTGAGTTTGCCCCATGTGTATCTAGCAAGCTTTCCCTTGGGAACTATGAAACTCTGGGGGACACCATGGCCACCTTCCGGTGCAGTCTGATGTGGATGTATCAGAAGGAAGTGGATAATGTACTCCCCAGGGGGGGGGAGGTCCTCAGACGGGCTACGGCCCTGCACAGATACATAAACAAGCTGCAGTGTGCTTGTCTTAATGTTTGATTTAGATTGCTGCCCCATTGATTCAACTGTGGCTCAGGCAAATGGGACTAAACCAAATTCATGGTCTTGCCATGCCGTGGTCCAGCCGTTTTGACTGTACAAGAATGACCACATAAGGGCTGTGCGCCTAATTAAGCACTTAGTCAATAACCCACTCCCTCTGGACTAAGTCATTTGCTTTATCCATTGCGAGAATGAGATCAAGCTGGGCAGTGAATGTGAGTAATTCATGCAGGAAGAACTCATTTAAGGTGCAGCTGGATTGATTGGAATTAGTTATTGCAGGCAGCAAGAGAAAGTGGGTTCCCTCCTCAGGTGATTCCAATACTCCTTTACAAATGGTCATGCAAGGTCTGAATCCAGATGCCCAGGACCACATGTATGTGAGGGGACCCTAGAGGACCAGTATCCCAATGCAGAGGAGATCATCTTGCCACAAGAAGCTCAGATACTTGGGAACAGGCTTTGCTATTGGTATGCATGGAGCTGGCTGCTGTATGATTTTTTTAAAAGTAATTTGATGCGTCTAATTGTTCTGCGGTGAGATAAGAACACTCCATTTTATCTGAAGTCACAGGACAGCTTATTGACTGCACTGTCTTACTGCTGCAGCACATAATGGCATTGTTAGGGGAAATGTCAGCGAAGGCACTGGAGGGTGGAAAAACACGAAATCAAATTTCTCACATGACAATAGCTTGAATATCTGTTGGGCTTTTGCTTCCACTGAATATGGCTGAGCATTCTTCTCCAGCTGATTCGATCAGCCACGGTACAGTGTTTGTCCAGCCAACCTTGCCAGCAGTTACACATTTTAACAAGCCCCCGACTCTCCTGCCTCTCAGGAAGAGGTCTGGACCCTCTTCCCCACACTTTTCCTCCCAGAGAAATCAGTTTCCCAACATCCAGTGTCTATGAGTTCACGCTGTATTCTTTTATCAGCCATCTGCCAGGGTAGATGCATCCGCAAGACGTCTTCCTTCGCCGGCATAATTAGAAGAGACTCTCTCCTTTCGAATGTTGTGTTACATTTACATTCAAAGTTATTTTGCCTTCTCTTTGCCCTTGCCCTCAAGGAATTGTGGGAATTCAAGTTAATAGGCTTTTAATGGTTCTGTGATAACTGTGATTATAAACTGTGAATCAGATCAGGGGGAGCATCCAAGTTCAGCGGAATCTCATGCGAAGACTCCACCATTGCTTTTGATCCTTGGTGGAGATCAGTTTTCAGTGTTCAGACACCACCAACCTTTAAAAATAAAAATAAAAAAATAAAAAATAAAAATTTAAAGGCACCTCATTTGCTTTGCAATTGCCTTGATAATAATTTTAAAGCCTTTAACTACAATTCTCCTTTTGATATGTTAGCAGTATTTAGAAACACATCCTGTCGCTAAAAATTAAATTTCAAAGTCTACAATTGTATTTCCTGCTTCCTTTTAGAGGGGAAGATGCTGAGTTTATTTAAAACACATGCAACACGTTGGGGTCACACCACACACACACACACACACACACGCACACATACCGCCTTCAACCTTTCACTGCCAAATATTTAGAAATAAATTTTTACTGTGTTCTCTGAACATATAATTATTGCTTTGAGGCTAGTTAATGAAAATACACTTTTCTTTGAAACATGTTGGCTCTACTAAATGAGCCTGTCCTTGTGAGTCCGTAGATGAATCGGTTGTGAGCCTCCTTGAAAAGAGAGGCATCTGATCATTGTTGCCAGATGTCTCAAGAAAGCCTGCCAAGCTGGGGCTAGAAACGCAGCCTTAAAATAGTAGGCTCGAAATTGCACCATCAGCCAATTAGGACCCTTAGAGCAAATTAGCTCTTGTTGCCATTGGCCAGAGCAGCTGCGACTTTTGCCTGGCTAGCCCAGGGCCATTCCCACAAGCCTCGCCTCCTTTGGCCAATTACTGCTGGCATCTGAAGAGGCCACACAGCATGGCAGCCCTAGGTTTTAAAACCAGCTCCCTTCCCAGAAAAGTCCCTGTGGCCACCCCTGGAGTCCAGGCCATTGTCAAGGCAGAATAACTCCTGTGGGTAGAGTGTTCCCAAATGGGGAAGGCCTTGCAAACCAGAGCTTGACTGCAGGGGTGCCCTAAGCTGCAGCACCCCCACCCTCTTGGAGACCTGGAGAATGAGAGTTGAGCAAGGAGCACAGTACTGCCTTCTCCATGAGCGGGTCTCGGGTTGGAGACTGCATCCCCACAATTTTGAAAGAGACATTTGAATACAAAGCAGTGGGGAGGAGGGGAACCTTCCAGGCGAGTTCATCTGTTGCACTGAAAGCAAGAAGCCTCCTCCAGCAAGTCTGGCTCCCAGAGCACAGGGCCACAGGGCAGGGAGGGGCACTGGGCAGTTGTTCTGCCAGAAGTGGCACTGGGACCAAGAACCAAGAAATAACTATTGGCAGCAAGGCTACTACTGGTAGCAAAGGCTCCCCAAATCCTTTATGATCCAGTAATTCTACCTCTGAGAATTTACCCCAAGGAAATACCCATGTATTTGCACAAAGATTTATCCCTGAGTATGCTCATTACAGTATTTGTTAGGAGGGAAAATTGAAACATAATATAAATGCAATTGAACCCAATGCAGTCATGAAGAATAGGAAAGAATGGGACAGAAAAAATATATTGTTCCATAAAAGAGAAAGGTAAATACACATATAGAATGATCCTAGTTTTGTAAAAATTATATATAAGATCAGTGGAAAAAATGAAGATTACACATATACTTTAGGATTGTTCTTTTTTTCTTTATTGGGACTTGCCAAATTTCTAATAATGAATGCATTTTGCTATTGAGATCAGAAAGAAAGTTAACTTTTTCCTACTGGGTATTGAACTCAGGGGAGTTTTACTATTGGGCTACATCCCCAGCCCTTTAAATATATATATATATATTTTTTTTCAGGGTCTTACAAAGTTGCCAGGGCTAGTCTTGAACTTGCAATCCTCTTGCCTTGGCTTCTGGAGTCTCTGAGGTTATAGGTGTGCACCACCATACCCAGCTCAGCTTTTAAAAGAAAGCTTTAAAAAGACTTCTTTTTAAAAGAGACAGCGATGGATCAAGCAATAGATTGCCATGTCTTGCCATCATTCAGCATCCAGACAGGAAAGCCACATAATTAAGCTGCAACGTACACAGAATCGATTACTTCTGCTAAGATCGGAGGGCAAGACTGACCACGGTCAAAAAGTGAGTTTGCATGAGTCCAGAAAAGTGTTCTGCAGGTAATCCTCCAGATTGCCACAGGATGAGAGGTGTCCCTACTCTCAAGGACTCACAGTCTGAGGAATATGTCCCCATTTCCATGGGAGCATTGTCACTCCACCCCTGTGGCGGGCACAGAAGTTCTCCTGCCAGCTCCTTGGAACCCACCGTGATGAGTCTTGCATTATGGAAAGGGAGATCATGAAAAGCTTCCAGTCTGCTGAGGCATGACACTTGGCTTTGCCCCGGACTCTGAGGAGAGAAGACTTCAAGTCCAGCAACCAGGACTCGCAAAGCTCTGAGCTCCAGCAAAGCCTCTGACGAGAGGCTGAGGCTGGAAATCCAGGACCTCCCAAAATCTCTCCATGGGTTTCTCTGAACACAGTTGTGACACTTTTAAAGCTTCCGCCCTTAGGAACCAGACCCCCAAATGGTATATGTTGTTTACTTTGGAGGGGTGTGTGTGTGGGGGGGGGTGTCCTCTCTCATATTGAAAAACTTTTGCAGCTTTTGACACAGTTCTTTGAGTATCAGTACTAATTTTTATAATAATTATACCACCTGACGAACTCTTCCTTATAGGGTTTTGGGCAGGCTACGTGATCAAGGCCAGGGATGAGTGCCAGGGACTAGATCTTATTTATTTATTTGATATCAGGGATTGAACTCAGGGGCTCCTAACCACTGAGCCACATCCACAGTCCCTTTTATTTTTCTATTTTGAGACAGGGTCTTGCTGAGTTGCTTAGGACCTTGCGAAGTTGCTGAAGCTGGCTTTGAACTTGATCCTCCTGCCTCAGCCTACTGAGGTGCTGGGATTATAGACATGTGCCACCACATTCAGCCCAGATCTTATTTAAAGGGCAATCATGGGTTACTTGGAAGTACGAGAAACAGGGGTATCAGGGAGAGTACTTAGTGATTGCCTCTCCAGCACCCCTCCTTTTCCCAGCAATGACCCCCATTTCCTTCTCACCCCCATCACCATTCCCTGTGGTTTAGGCAGAGCTAACTCTGCCACTTGCTCCCAGACCAGCCAATCAGAGCATTGCCTTCCCCTGAGATGGTTTGTTTACAGAACCAGCCCATGACCCAAATCAGAGCAAGGCAGACTGCATTCCAGAACTCTTACTGGAGCAGAGAAAGAATCTCCACCTTTCCTGACAGGGCTGCTGTTTCTGCTGCCACCTTCCAGCCCACACCTCCAAGCCTTGAGAATGAGGCCCACTCAGGGGACCTGTGGGAGCCATGGAGGAAGCTGGGGTCCTGGCCACATGGCTGGAGCTGCACCAGAAGCCAGCGGCTCCCATGAACTGTTCAGGACACAAGGCAATAGAGTCTCCTTCTTGCTGTCAAAAGAGAATCAGGATTGAGGGAGAAGTGGGTAAAGAAAGAAGGGGTAGAGAGAAGGAAGAAAGAAGGAAGAAACTGCAGGTTGGGTTCCTAGATACTGCGTCTCCCCAGGAACAATGCCTGTAGAAGGCTGAGCCTCTCTAGGGTGGGAGGAGGGAAGGACCCCCAGGTCCCGGGTGCTCACGGACCCTCCACACGCCCGACTCCAACTCCAGCCCACCTACTTTGGGTTTGAACTCATCCCCAAACACCATCTGTTTCTCCCTGGAAAGGACTACTCTTGGCAAATCCCAGGCCTCCATGACAGCCCCACTGTCCTGTGACTTTGGTTTTTCCTCCAGCTGGCACAGACAGCCCCAGACACTCGCCCCAAGGATGCAACGACCCCTTCTTATTCATAGCACATACTCACTTGTTGGCCACACGACCCAGATTCTGCCTCTGGGACATGAGCGGCGGGGTATGGAAATCACAATGACTTTAAAAGAGCAAATAGCAAAAACCCAGCAGTCCTGTCACCGAAGGATGTTAAGTTCCATATTAAATTTATTTCCTTACTAATCTTCATATCAGTATCATTAACATAAAGTTGTAATTTTTTTCTGTTAAAAAATAGGCAGTTGCATGCTGCACCTTTGTTGATCATAAAATGTTCTGGATTTTAGTGCACTTGGACTCTGGTCTGACCCAGTCTCCTGTGGAGGTTTATGCAGAATTGCCTGTTGTCTGTTCTCCAAGTCATACTTGGAAGCAAGCACCACCTGGGTGCTGATGCTTCACTATTTCTTTGAATAGTGGGAAAACCTTCCAGCCTTCAGATAGCAAGCAGAGAAAGCCCTGGGAAAAGCCACCCAGGACCTCTGGGGACAATACCACCCTGGGGGGATCAGCTCGAGTTTCAGCGGTAGACAGCCCGGCCCACCCCTGGCAGTGCCACTTTTGAGATGTACGGTCTTGGGAAGGTTACTTACCCTCTTCCCGCATCCGTTTTCCTGTCTGTAAGATGGAGATATCATAGCGCTTACGTGGACACTGTCGAGGCTGAGGGCAGAAGGCAGCGGTGCAGGGAATCAGAGAGGAGCAGGACAGTGCTGGGAACCTGGTCCAGCCAGGCGGCTCCGAAAGTCTGTCCTGGGTCCAACTGTGAGGTATCAGAGGCTGGGCAGAGGCAGGTGCCCTCCGCAAAATCTGAGGAACCACCTAGAAGGTCTGGGTTTTCCTTTTGGGCTTCTCTGCCGGCCCTGCTTGGCCCTGCTCTGGAGCTGCCCCCTGCTCTCATTCCCTGTGGGGCTCAGACACCAGGCCCCTGGCAGCATGTCAGCATCTGTCTTTCTGATGGCTTGGGGCAGGGGGCTTGCAGCCAGGTAGCTGGGAAGAAGGCAAGGAGACGTCCCATGGAGAAGGTCCCAGCAATAAATCAGGGGCCCGGAAGTCTCTCGGGCAAATATGGATTCCTTATGGCTCTCCTAATGGACAGGCTGGTTTCAGTCTGAATTCAGGTCCTACGAGAAGCCAGGAGCAGTGACAGGCTATCTGATATGTGTTCCAGGCCCAGGCCAAAGATCAAGCTTTGCTGAACCAGAGTGAAGAAAACAACGACCGTGAAACATCTTCTTTGCAGGCGCCCAGGCTGCAATGGGCTGTCCACAAGGTCATCCTGGAAAGCCAAGGACAGCGCAGACACCTCCTGGCTCCTGCTGTAATGGACGGAAGCAATGGTGCAGATAATCTAGCCAAATGGCGGGTAATCCAAAAGCCATTTCTATTTGGCCTTGGGAGAAGTTCCTGTGCTCATTCTGAGTGTGGGTGGATGGGAGCATCCCTGCCAGATGGGTGTGCACACAGAGATCTGGGCACTGCCTCACATCCAGGCTGCTCTCCAGGGCAGGTGGCCCTGGCCAGCAGCAGCTGGGGTGGTGGGCATGGCAGGGAGCAAGTGAGGAAGAAGGGGTTCAAGAGGTGCTTCTCCAGTTGGCCCCCTTTCCTGGCCATTCTCATCCTTTTCAGCTCTGCCCAGAAGTGTAACCCCTGTGGGGAGCGTGGCCTGGGCACCTTTGCTCTCTAGCTTCCATATTGGTTTGAGCCACAGGAGATGGGAGCAAAGAAAGAGAAGCTAGAGAATCTCGCCCCACCTCCCTCCCTCTCCTGGCAAGACTCTCTAGGTGCCCCTGCTGCCCTCCACCTGTCCCTGGCTTGTTTTCAATGGGTATTAGAACATCGTTCTTCCCCATATCCCTTTGGTCTGGGTGTGGTAACAGAGCCGCGCCACTCATAGGTCCCCTAACCTGCCCACACCTTCACCAGATCTTTTCCACTGAGGCATCTGAGGCAAGCTCTAGCTCCTGTCCACGACCTGATGGGGGTGGTACAGGGTAGGACTGCAGGTGGGACTAGGGAAGTGGGACTCTTTAACCAGACAGGGACCACCTAGGGACCCTGCTTGAAGGGCAGCCCCTTACTACCCAGATCTTCCTGAAGCCCAGGGTCCCTCTTTGTTCCATCCTGAGTCAGCCTGCCCCAGGTCAGGTACCTCCACCTGCAGCTCCATCCAGTGTTGGAGGCTGACTCACCTCCTCCTTTGAGTCACCAAAGTGGATGCAGCCCTCCAGTATGCTTGGCTTCCCTTGAAAATGATGGTGTCAAGTTTGAAGAGGAGGAATTTTCACAACATCCTCAAAAGTTTTCTTTTTCAGGAGCCTCCTCCTCCCATCCTAACCTCTCAAGACTGGAATTGGGAATTTATCAACTGGCCCCTTGATCCATCCATGATCCTGACACTGACCCTGTTTCTAGATTCATGACTCACATTCTTCCTCCCTGGTCTGTCCGGCTTTCTGTTGGCCAAGGTCATGGCTGCTTTGGTTTTGCTTCTATCATAGTCTATTTGATCTTGTAATTCTGGTGATAAATGATCCTGTTGTTTCTGAGAGTTGTTAAATCCGGTTACTTTCTAGTTACTTACTCCTCCTGGGTCACCACCATCTATACACCAAAGACATCGGTATCATCCTGTCTTCTCCTCCACGGCCCAAATCAAGTCATACTCAAGTCCTGCTATGTCTCCCGACCCAGCTCCCGACACTGGTGTAGGTCACTGTCACTTTGCCGCTGCATGACTACCCCCTTCCTAGAAACCCTCTCTTCACACCATCCTCCCCACCAAGCCATGCTTCACCCTGTGGTCTTTGAAAAATAGGAATCAGACCATGCCAATGCTCGAAAATCCCGCCAGTGGCCTCCATGACACTGGGCGTTAGCGATGCATCCTGAGCGCGGTGTGTGTACCGTGAGGCTCTGGGCCTGCCTTGTCCTGGCTGCACCTCCAACCTGGACTCCTTCATCACTGTGCTCTCTGCCTGTGCTCCAGAGCTCCCCTCCCTTTATCTGTCCACTCCCATGCTTCCTTCTGCAGAGAACTGAGAACTCCTCTAGACCAGGTCAAAGGCCCCAGGTCAGCGGGGAAACCCAGACCCTCCTCCAGAGCAGCTGTCACAGTCTGTAATGCGACATGCATTTACGCTCCACTCTGGACGGTGAGCGCCAAACCAGAGCTCTCCCTGGTTTTGCCTGCACCAACACCTCCACCGCCTTCTCAGTCGTCCTGTGTGAGTGGTGTTTTCCATTGAAAACATACCTCAGAGACATTTCATGGCACATTGACCACATGCTTCTATTCCCTCTCCTTCTAGAAGTCCTCCACCAACGGGAGTTTTCAAAGGTACAGACCCACCGGGACTAAGAAAACCAAGCAGGAGACCACAGCGAAAGGAGCTGAGCGAGTCTGGAAATGTCAGACGCAGGCAGAGAAACCGTAGTTTGTGCAGAAAAGAACAGCCATATCCCAGGAGCCACCAGGAAGGTAACCAGGAGATACCCAGAGCCCAGGGAAACCGAGACCTAGTATCACAGCAGAGGGGAACTCAAAGCTGGGCTGAAATGGAAAGTCGCCTAAAATTCTGTGGGTAGAGTAGTTAAGCCCTCGCACCCCCTCGCCCTGGGGAGACAAGCACCCTTTCTCCACCCTTACACCCCCAGAAAGAAAGCAGAGGCTTATTCTCCAAAGAAAAATGAACCTGGGAGTCTCCACAGGTGAGAAGCTGAGGCAAGGAAATGAAAGTGCCCGCGGCTGCATGCAGAAGTCAAGCAGGATGGTCGCAGCTGGGGAAGAGCCCTCGGGTACCGGCCAACGGGCGCTGAGGGCTGAGAGCTGGCCAGAGCTCACAGAGTGGACTCAGCATAGGGGGCAGCATCGTGCCCCTTACCAAGAGCAAAGTTTCCTGTGGAAGCTCAGTCCTATCCTGGGTCAGAAAAAGAGGCAACTATAAAGGAGGACCTGCGAGCTTCTAGGGAAATTGGAATTTGGCCTCTATATTGTAAATACCTTGCTAGGATAACACTACTGGGGAAATGCAGGAGAAGGTCTGAGTCCTTAGAAGAGCCACATGGATGTGTTTAGGATGGAAGCCTGATGATGACTGCACCTGTCAAAAGTTCAACAAACGGATTATGTAATGCAAATATGTGTGAATATGTGCATAGATAGGTAAAGAGACAAAATGGCCCTAAGAGAGAAGAGAACGGAGGAAGCCAATGTACCAAAATGTTGCAATAATGAATCAAATGTGTATTCAGGTGTTCATTGTTTTTTTTCTTTAGTTTTTTTTAAATTAATTTTGAAATTTATATATGACAGTGGACTGCATTATCATTCTCATTACACAAATAGAGCACAATTTTTCATCTCTCTGATTTACACAAAGTATATTCACACCAATTCATGTCTTTATATATGTACTTTGGATAATAGTGTGCGTCTCATTCCACCATCATTTATAACCCCTGCCCCCTCCCTTCCCCTCCAACCATTCTGCCCTGTCTACAGTTCATCTATTCCTCCCATGCTCCCTCTCCTACCCCACTATGAATCAGCCTCCTTATATCAGACAAAGCATTTGTCATTTGGTTTTTGGGGATTGTCAAAAGTTCAACAAATGAATTATGTAATGCAAATGTGTGTGAATATGTGCATAGATAGGTAAATAGATAATGCTAACTTCACTTAGCATTATCTTCTCTAACTCCATCCATTTATCTGCAAATGCCATAATTTTATTCTCTTTTATTGCTGAGTAATATTCCATTGTGTATATATGCCACATTTTTTTTATTCATTCATCCATTGAAGGGCATCTAGGATGGTCCCACAGCTTAGCTACTGTGAATTGTGGTGCTATAAACATTGATGTAGCTGTGTCCCTGTAGTATGTTGTTTTTAAGTCCTTTGGGTATAGACGGAGGAGAGGGATAGCTGGGTCAAATGGTGATTCCATTCCCAATTTCCAAGAAATCACTATACTGCTTTCCATATTGGCTGCACACATTTGCAGCCCCACCAGCAATGTATGAGTGTGCCTTTTCCCTCACATCCTCGCCAACACCTATTGTTGTTTGTCTTCATAATAGCTGCCATTCTGACTGGGGTGAGATGAAAGATTAGTTTTGATTTGCATTTCTCTAATTGCTAGCGGTGATGAACATTTTTTCATATATTTGTTGATTGATTGTACATCATCTGAGAAGTGTCTGTTCAGGTCCTTGGCCCATTTATTGATTGGGTTATTTATTTTTTTGGTGCTTAGCTTTTTAAGTTCTTTATATACCCTAGAGATTAGTGCTCTATCTGATGTGTGAGGCGTAAAGATTTGCTCCCAAGATGTAGGCTCTCTATTCACCTCACAGATTGTTTCCTTTGCTGAGAAGAAACTTTTTAGTTGAGTCCATCCCATTTATTGATTCTTGATTTTAATTCTTGCACCAAAGGAATCTTATTTAGGAACTTGGAGCCTAATCCCACATGATGGAGATTGGAGCCTACTTTTTCTTCTATTAGACTCAGGGTCTCTGGTTTTATTCCTAGGTCCTTGATACACTTGAGTTGAGTTTTGTGCATGGTGAGAGGTAGGGATTTAATTTCATTTTGCTGCATATGGATTACTAGTTTTCCCAGCACCATTTGTTGAAGAGATTTTCTTTTCTCCAATGCATGCTTTATGGCATCTTTGTCTAATATAAGATAATTGTCGTTTTGTGGGTTTGTCTCTGTGTCCTCTATTCTGTACCATTGGTCTACCAGTCTGTTTTGGTGCCAATACCATGTTGTTTTTGTTACTATTGCTCTGTAGTATAGTTTAAGGTCTGGTATAGTGATGCCACCTGCTTCACTCTTCTTGATAAGGATTGCTTTAGCTATTCTGGGTCTCTTATTTTTCCAGATGAATATCATGATTGCTTTTTCTGTTTCTATGAGGAATGTCATTGGGATTTTTATCAGAATTGCATTAAATCTATATAATGCTTTGTGTGTGTGTGTGTGTGTGTGTAAGTTTGAAATTTTGCAAAATAAAACAGAAAAAATAAAGAGTAACATAAGATTTCTCAACAGCAAAACTGAGAGCTTAAGACCAAGAACAAGGTTGTTTTATAGGATACTAAGGAAAACTGATCTTCAGCCCAGAATTCAATTCCCAGCTATGCCATCTACCAAAATAGTGAAGCAGAACAAATACATGTATATATATTTTGTTTGTTTGTTTTAGTGGTGCTAGGGATTGAACCCAGGACTTTGTGCATGCTGAGCAAATGCTCTACCACTGAGCTACATCCCCAGCCCCAGAATAAGTATATTTTTAACACATTTGAAATCTCAAAATATTGATCTCCTGTGTGCTTTCCTTATGAAGGTATTAAGAGAT